TAAGTCCATGACATTCTTTGGTGTAGGAACCTTACCTTGGTATCCTATTCCTTTCCTGCCGTTTCTGCTAACTCCATAGATCATTGAAGCCATTTTGCTTCTATCTATGCTTTTAGCGAGGAACTTCTGGAAACTGTGAGCATACTCCTTGATGATCTCATCAGTGTTGCTGGGAGTTTCAGAAATTGGTTCCTTCTGAGAGTTTTTTAAAGTGTTTTCTAATTTTGAAATCTTATTTCTCAGCTCAGAATTCTCCAATTTGAGACTCTCAGTCTTATTAGAGTCAGATTCAAGATTCCTTTTCAGGTCTCTGAATTTAACTCTAATTTGCTGATACCGTTCCAGAATCTCATTAAGGCTTTCAGCAAGTTCAGCCTTGGTAAAGTTAACAGCAAAGTTAGGAAATACCTCTTCAGTATCTGATTCTGAGTCTGATTCAGAAGCTTCACTATCTTCTGAGATGTTAGCCATGAGAGCTATGTTTGCCCTCTCATCATCTGATTCTGAGTCAGCTTCAGACGAGTCAGAGTCATCCCATGTAGCCATGAGACTTTTCTTCTTCTCTCTTCCAAACTTCTTTTTGGGTTTTTCCCTCTGAAGCTTTGGGCAGTCACTCTTATAGTGTCCTTGCTCATTGCACTCATAGCAGATGATGTCCTTGGTGTTTGGCTTTTTGCTACTAGAGGAGCCTTCAGATCTTCTGTATCCAGAGGAAGAATCTGTCCTTCTGTATCTGGAAGAAGACTCGTTCTGATCAGATCTTCTGGGATTCCTGAACTTCCTTTGTCTTTGCTTCCACAGTTGATTTACTCTTCTGGAAAGGAGGGAGAGTTCGTCTTCTTCTGATGAGGATTCATCAGATGTTTCTTCAACTGCCTGCAAAATTTTAGACTCAGATTTTCTGTTAGATTTTAATGCTAAAGACTTACCTTGCTTCTGAGGCTCGTCAGCTTCTAGCTCTATCTCATGACTTCTGAGGGAGATGATAAGTTCCTCCAGAGTGATTTTGTTGAGATCTTTAGCTAGCTTCAGAGCTGTAACCATTGGTCTCCACTGCTTGGGTAAACTTCTGATGATTTTCTTGACATGGTCAGCAGTAGAGTATCCTTTGTCCAGAACCTTGAGACCAGCTACCAGAATCTGGAATCTTGAGAACATTGTTTCAATGGATTCAGGTTCTTCCATTTTGAACGCCTCATACTTCTGAATGAGCGCCAGAGCTTTAGTTTCTTTGACCTGAACGTTGCCCTCATGCGTCATTCTGAGTGAGTAAAAAATGTTCTTTGCTGTGTCTCTGTTGGAGATCTTTTCATATTCTGTATAGGAGATGGCGCTGAGGAGGATGGTTCTGGCCTTGTGGTGATTCTTGAAGTCACGCTTTTGTTGGTCAGACATTGTTTTTCTATCAATCTTCTGACCGCTTGCATTCACAGGGTACGTGTATCCATCTGTCACCATATCCCACAGATCAGCATCATATGCCAGAAAGAAGCTTTCAATTCTGTCTTTCCAGTAATCAAAGTTTTCTCCATCAAAGACTGGAGGTTTGCCGCTGAATCTGTCTCTGTCCTCATTGTTGTCATTGCTGGTGTGAGAATAGTTTCCTGCCATTGTGTTTTTCTGACGCTGGATCTTGTACTGACACGGTTAAGTGTTTTAGCTCAGAACCAGGCGTTTTGATGCCAATTGAAGTAGTGAAAAACACAAGAAGGGAGGGTTGAATTGTAAAACTGAAAATCAATGCAATGAACAAGATATTTTTATCCTGGTTCGTTTGATCTCAAACTACTCCAGTCCACCCGTCAAGGTGATTTCGCCTCTCTCCAACGAGGTCTTAATCCACTATATTCAACTGAATATTACAGACTGCTTTAACAACTGCTAAAGCCTTCTTGATGCAAACCACAACCGATTTGTCAAGGAAACACTTTCTTACAAAGAAGATAAATCTAAGTGTGTGAATGTTTTCTACAAAACTGTATCACAACTGTGATGTATACACAACTTAAAGCTTAGAAACTAGATTGCTAAACAATGATTGAATAAGAGAATGTGTAGTGTTTAGCAAACTGAGAGAAGGAAGATTATGATCAGCTTTTAGGCGTGTAAAGATTTGGAGAGCATTAGCCAATTCAATCTTCAAAGTCTTGTTTATATAGCACTGAGATGTTTGAACGTTGGAGCAATATTCTTGATTCAATGCTAATAACAAACTTTCCTTATCGAGCAGATCTTGTCTGGAATGAGGCCGTTGGTATTAATTTGCTTTCAATGCACAGTACCGTTGCTTACTTAATGCAAGTTCTGGCTTGGCTCATTCTGACTCTGCTTGGCTGCTGATGAACTGTTGTGTTTCTTTATCAGAGTGTTGAGCGCAGTTCTGTTCATCAGGCTTCAGCATTCACGTGAGTTAATCTTCTGATTCTGACATTCTGATATGGCAACTTCTGATGCTGATGTCAGGAACCAAATTTCTGATGCTGATTAGGTGTGATCAGAGTATCTGCAAATCAGAACGTAATAATTTAGGCAGCAGATAGTTCTTACATGAATCATATAAATAATATATCTTTTCACTTTGTGATCATCAAAACTTAAACATAGGGTAGTAGATTCAAACTTTGTTCTAACATCTTTTACCTTGAAAAATGATTTGGTGATTTGAACCACCTTAAAGACTATGACTGAAAGGAAGCACAAGGTTCGGTCTGTACCGCTTTATACTTCTCTCAATACTTAAGACTCGTGACATATAGTTCACATCATTATTGTTAAGTGTTTTTGGAGTTTGATTAAGAAAAAGAAATTTTAGTTTTAGAAATGCAAAAGGGGAATGAAAAAGTCTAAGAGAAACTAGAGCCCTAATGTTATCATACAATGGTGGTCTTAAAGTTAAGATGAAAGAAAAACGTCTACCTAAGTTAGCATGCATGGATATCAATCCTAAGGTCTATCTCAATTCAAATCTTAACTAAGATTGAACCGAGAAATCCTATGAGAACATGGTATAAATCGCAAAGGTAACAACCAAGAATGAGTCTCGAATACTTAACAAAGCATCACGACAACAATTGAACAAGTGCACACAAAAAAAATCATTGTCTATTTCGAGCTAGGACTTTAAGTAAAAAATTGCCTACTTCGAGGTAGGTCTTTAAACAATCAGAAATTGCCTACTTCAAGGTAAGACTTTAAATTAAACAGAAATTGCCTACTTCAAAGTAGGACTTTAAATCAAACAGAAATTGCCTACTTCGAGGTAAGACTGTAAATCAAACAGAAATTGCATGCTTTGAGGTAGGACTTTAAATCAAACATAAATTGGCTACTTCGAGGTAGGTCTTTAAACAACTACGCTATGCCGCAAACATCTTTTCGCAATGTCTACAGGAGTAGGTCTTCAGTCATGCATCTCTATCCTACTTCTCATAGCAAGATTAATTGAAAATGATGCAAGAATAAGATAGTAAAGAGATATAAAATGATACCAAACAGAGAAGGTTTGTTGCCTTTTCAACGCGCGCGCAAAAAGAAAACTCAAGAATGCTTGCGGGAGCTTCACCAACAATCAACCAAGTTAGTATTCAAATGCGCAAGAGTTGCGTCAATGAGCAAACATCAAGTAAGAATAAATCGCAAGTAGAAAGTGCGTCGGATGAATCCGATGTATTGGATAAGAATTCCAATTCCCGCATCAGATGAAAAATAGCACAACCAGACAAAACCAGGATAAATGAAATGTGAAGTGAAAGTTTAATCAATTAATCAAGAATTGATGAAACTTAATTGACTAAGTTAAGAAAAATTAATTAGCAAGGCTAATTTATTTTTAATAACTAAACCAACTAAATGAATCAAGACTTGATTAATCAATCGAAAGCGAATAAAGGGTGTGAAGCGGAAGTAACCACTTGAGTCGTCTTGAGAACTTGCACAAATCAACAAACAAGTTAGTAATCACGAGAGAGTTAAAAACCAAATGAAACTTGAATCAAATTGAATGAACAAATGAATATTCCTTAATCAAGAACCAAGAAAACAAGTCATTATTCAATGTAAATAGAAAAAATCGCCCTTGATTCATCATTTCAAACATGTTCAAAGTCAAGTAAACACAAAGATAATCATGGTTTTCCAATCACCAATGAAACAAAGATCAAGAATTCACATTATTTCTTCACTTGAATCACGAAAAAAATCAGCATTCAACACATTGTTTCAAGCATGTTCATTCAATTAAACTCAAAAGTAAACATAATTTTCAAACCACAAATGAAACAAGAAGCGAAAGTTCATATTGCAACATGAAAAATTGAGTTCAAAATAAGTCTTAAACCTCTAAACCAAAATCCGGCCAGCAACTCAACTTACACAATAATGCTCAATAATTCCAATTCAAATGTGTTCAACACAAATGGGAACAAAAACCCAATACCACAACCAACTAAACCATTCGAATTCTTACACAAATGAAACAAAATCGTCACCGATATTTCTTCCAAATTCGAACAACATGGTATCATAATTGAACAAAAACTCATCCTCTTATTCCAATCGGGTTCAAACACCAAAACAAAAACGCAATGAAAAGTGCGATATCATTCAAACTCGGCTCAAACAAGCGGCATGGTATTGTAACCTAGAACTTCAATCAAATTTATCATTAAAGCCCACAAACTCAAAACATAAACACCACAACCTCATTTGTTCCAAATAACAACAATAATCACCATCATTAATCTCAACAATAATTCACAATGTTAATTTAACGATATCATTCAACTTCATGACAACCCAACAACAATAATCATCATTCAACTCAATATTAAACCAACAACAACTTCATCAATTAAGTCAAGGCTCTCAATTAAGTTCAACATTTCAGACAAGTATCACTAACATTCAACACTACTCCATAATAATATCATAACCAAACTTCAACAATTTAAACAATAATCATCAATAATCTTCACAAATTAGAACCAAAACTCCATTAATCTTATCATTAAATTCACAACAAAATCAATATCAAACGGAGAGAGGAATGAGATCGAGGTAGTTGGCTGAAGGTTCGGAAGTTTACAGGGCAGGGCGGTGTTTGTTCGGTTGGATGAGGCTGGGATGGCGGACGTTGATTGGACTTCGGAGCGGATAAAGGTGATCCGGGAGCTACAGTTGCGGTGGAAACGACTGAATGAAATTGGAGAGGAAGAACAGAGATGTGAGGAAGGGTAAAGATGGAGAATGAGGTAGCTGGGAGCGGAGAGGGAGTATCGAGTTTTGTGAGTTCTCCGTTTGTTTGTCCACAAATCTGATCCTCTTATCCACAACATTGTTAGGTTTTCAAAATTTAAATAATACCACAAATACCCTCAATGACAAAATGAAATAAAAACCTATACAAGTAATAATAAATTCATCTAAAACTATTTTTCTCTTGATTTTCCGAAATAAAAAACGGAATTTTAAAATAATCAAAAACAATTATACATAAATAATCAAAATAAAAAAATAAAGACGCTGGGTGTTGAACTCACGCATTTCCCTTCATCTGTGTCTAATCCTTGCCAACTGGGTTGTGCGTTTCAATTGTTACTGAAATACGAATCAATTATTATATAATAAAAATACGTATATATTTTAAATTCAAACCTCAGTCAAATATGGGGTCTCTTGTATTTGAATGGACGAATAAGAAAAGGCCACGTCTGAGTCAAACGTTCAACAGGCCGGAGAAGCGTCGGAGCCCTAGCTCCGACCATCTTCTCCGGCGATGCCCATATCAAACCTGCAAAATAGTGAAAATCAAAAACCAAGAAGGGTCGTGTCCCCCTAATTTGGACCTCCTGAATCCATTGGTGAGGTTATTTTGCTCTGAAAATGCCTGTATACAGAGATACGAAGAGAACAGTGCAAACTGCCATAACAATGGCAGATCCTTACTCCTGTGCCAAAGCTTGCGAGTGATGCATCAAAACATCCATAAGAACATGAATGTAGGCATACAATTCATTTAAGTCGCATGATTAAAGAGTTTGAAATCAAGAACTTTTGCCAAACCGATGGGCTTGTATGAAGGGATTCTGGAGTGTGTTGAGTTTGAGCAATCATATGGACCGCCTCCTGGAGTCTTCAGGAAGGTGATGAGATGCTTCACACTGCTTGGGAACAATTGGAAATAAGGGTTTCAAATTGCCCTAGTTTTGAGAAATTCTGAAAATCTTAGAGTTGTTCTTTGGGCAGGCCAAAGTGTGTCCATTTGATCTGAGTGTTGTGCATATATAGAGCATGGATTTAGGGTAACAAAAGTAGTATGATGTCATGTATAATCAAGTGTATGAATTATTTCCAAAATCCATTCAAAAACTTTCCAAAAGTGAAGATTTCCTCCCCCTCTTGGCCCACACGATTTGGACAGCTTGTCATGAGCTATTTTGGTTTAAAAAAGATTCATATTTTTATATTTTACATATTTCTTGCATTTATTTTGTGTTTATTTAATTTAATTTTGATTTTAAATAAATCAAAATCAAAATAAATAAAATAAAAACTAAAAATAATGCATGGATGCATTTAGGGGTCCTCAAACATGTCATTAACACGTTTAAATTCCAAAGCTTAGGCCCAATAGCCCAATATTACAAATTTGCTCAATTGAGATTTCTTGCATTTCTCAAACATTGTCCAACTTGTGCAACCCATAACTTTCTCAATTTTCATCTTTTGAAGATGATCTTTGACTTTTTGGAAAGCTATAGATGTCCTTTACAATTTCTATTTTGATCATTTTTGCATTTGGAGAGTTTATCTTGATCTAAGTTGCCTCGACAAAAAGTGTCTTTTGGTTAACTTTTGAAATGACCTATAATGTATTAGCTCATATCTTTCAAATGAATCACTTTTGAGACTTGAGCATAAATACAAAGTTGTAGAGAATTTAATTTCATTCAAAATGGGTTTTGGTTAGGAAAAAATTGATGAAGCATGTGAAAGTTATGTTTGGTCAAAGTTTAGTTGACTTCTCCTAAGAAAATCCTAATTTGACAATTTTTGACTTTTGATGGTTTGAGGACTTTCTTTGAGGAATCATGATCAACCCTTGATAAAATGATGAATATCACTTAAAAATGTTGATATTGACAAAAAATCTTGAAGTTTGACTGTATGTTGGCCATAGTTGACTTTTTACCCAATACAGTTGATTTTCAATCATCTGAGCCATTGACTTAGAAAACTTGTGATGCAAGACTTGAAACTTGACATAAGCACTATTGAGGACCTATGATGAACCATGAAAAATGTTTGAGACCCTTGCAACCCAATCTTACTTGAGAAGCACAAAACCCTAGTTGTAGACCCTTTGTTTAAGAGGAGGTTTGATTGGTCAACCCTTGAGATTCTTGAGCACTTTGAGAACCCTTAAAAGAATGTTTTGTTGAAAAAAATGGGAGGGAAAATTTTGGGGTACAATAGTGTGCCAATTTGTTTACCGTAAAAATTGATAAATAACCGTTAGTCTTCTAAAATAAAGGTTTTTTGTTAATCACTGGATCGACTAGATTGATCCTAGGACATATGTCTAGTTTTGATGATTTTTGGTTGTTGAATTGTTCATATTTTCGACAGTAATTGGCTAATTGGTAAGTGTTTATAAAACTAAATGAAATGATGGCAGGAAATTAAAGATAAAACGAAGGTTGCAAGATAAAGGTACAAGGGTTTGAAGATAAAGACTGGAATAAATGACTTCGACTTAAACTTAAATGAAATATAAAAGACTTGATTCAAAAATAAATGAATTTGAATATAAACTAGTGTTTCAATACGTACATTCTCAGTAACTCTTTTCTCTAACACTTGGTACTTCGAGTTTATTTGAGTAACTTGTACAAAAAGTGAACACACTAAAACCTAACACAAAGGCTCTAATTTATACTAATTTGACCATAACGGTCTTTCTCTATAAGAGTGTCATATTCGACATTTGCATGTTCTTCGAATCTTCAGGCTACCGCGCGTCCTTCTAGATAAGATCAAACCATTTGAATTTAAATCCTTCTTCAATTCGAAGCCCAAAACCAATCAACATGTCGTCAAACTATTCAAATGTAAAACTTGAATTTTCTTTAACACTTCACACATATCAGAACAATAAGACTTTCACCACCATTTAATATAATCAAGCTAGCATACTCTTGGTCAGCCGAAAGCTTTATGAAATATTTTCATATTCCTTTAAAACTAGCTTTCCTTCGACATTATTCATTCTTCCTTAACATTTTGGGTCGTCGAAATTCTCAGCTAACACGGGGCAGACATAGTTGAGGATGCGAGCATAAAACCTAGCCCCGCCTCGCAAAAAAGTGAGGTTGGAGCGAGGAAAGCCCACGGTAACTACACCCTTTAGGCCTAAAAACAAAAACAAAAAATTTTATATACACGTGACCACAAAAGCCCACAAAGAAAATGGAGCGGGGCGGGGAGAACACATTAGAGGGTAAGGGCTTAAACCTTTAGCCTGTCCCGCACTAAAGTGCGGGAAAAACAGGTATGTCAAACGGGCCGAGTCCATTTTGCCACCCCTATCAGTGCTTCCTACAAAGTGTGGGATACACAGGACTGGAGAATAATAGGGAATTTAAAAAGAGTAAGTGGAACTTCTTTGCCAAGTAACATGGGGAAGATTAGACACCTTAAGCCTTGTGTATGAGCTTTCCCCTTATAAGGAATCCATCATCCCAAACTTCTTTAAGGTTATTGGCAAAAGCCAAAGTTTGATTATTAGATCCTTTATCTAGCCTAGTGGAGGATGTCTGGTCCTAGCCACAGAACGTCGAGGAAGATTGAGTTGTGGGTGGGGTCCCACGTTCCCAGGAAACTTCTCTAACAATACCCCTATATGAATAGAAGTAGGATCAGAAGGAGAAGTGGATGTCTCCTTTGATCTCAATTGAGTTTTCTACCTCTTGAAGAGACCTTTCACTGCTCCCAAATGCCACTTGATGCCATTTTATTTGCAAAAGGAAATCAAGAAAGTCAATATTTATCAATTGAGAACACAAAAAGAAAATACACATCAGGTCAATTTCTATCTTAACTAAAGAGTCTCACATCTCATGAGCATTGGCAATACCTACTATAGCTCGAGTGTCAACAGACTACCTCTCATGTATAGAAGGCCCCACATCTAAAGGGTTGACCCCTTCTTCATAATGCAAGCTCTCTCAAAAGGCCACCAAATTTTCCTTTATTAATATTTTCTCCGGGGTTAGAAATTCAGAGAGATGCCATAAGTTTGGTTTTCTCAGTCAAAGTGATTCCAAGCCCAGTTTTTCAAATCTGGTCGCCACACCTAATCATCTCCACCCGGGAAAAATTAGGTACTAAGGACTTTCCCCCATGACAAAGTGAGCTTTCAGAGTTCGAGGGTGCATCATGAAGAAGTGATCTTTAAAGTCTTCTCAATTCTTTGTATAGACATCAAAGTATTCAACTTCTTGCCATAATGAAATCAGCCATTGACTACAGAAGTCGTCCCAGAAGGTACATTCCACAACAAAAGGTGAAATAAGAGATTCAAAGACGACTTCAAACCTCGATGTTCACACGAAAACTGGAACACTGATGACACACAAATATGTGATATTTCTGGCTTGATATACACCAAATATTTCTCATACTTTAGTTTAAATTAAATTATTTTATAGGTATTATGCAGGTATTTTTCTATTTTTGCATATATGCATTAAGCTGAACACTTTGGAAGAAATGAAGAAAAAAGAGGTGCAAAACTAGCAAAAAGGCCAAAGGACAAGAAACGAGCTCAAGCCCATTATACATGTGAGCACGTGGCCCACCATGAAGAATACCTTGACGATCGTCAAGGAGGCATGCCGAACGTCACGCATTGAGAATGACCAAGTGACTATCGTCACTTGGATGTGACGAACGTCACAAGGCCACTTACCCCACTTTCTTCGCATCCAACAGACAGAAACGCATTCAAATGTTAATCCAGAGACTACCTATATTATCTGACCCACTCAGTCAAAACACCAAGGAACGTGACAAATTAATGGCCCTATTATTTCTCAAAGGAGGAAATAAACTGTTCCTACATTCTCGAGAACAACTGATCACGCAAGAATTATAAATAGAGCCTTAGACCACAATAGAAGAGTTCTTTTTGGGAATAAACTTTGGAGATTTTATATTTACTTTGAGCGAATATTCCTTTTAGCATTACTTTATTTCCCAGTTAATTCTATATTTCTTCCAGCATTATTTCCTTTGTACAGTTAAATATATTCTCCGATTGAAGCAAAGC